GCACTTTTGGGTTTGATCAAACAATTATGTTGAAGGTGCTCTACCACGACGTCCCGTTTCCGTCGGCCAATGGAAAAAAAGAAGATCAAGCAACAAGGGTTGGGTTTCAAGCTTGACGCGCATGTTAGACCGTTGTTGGCGCGATTTGTGCAAGCACGTAGGCATCCAGAAACTTGTTGGCAGCAAGATTTTGCGATGCAAGATCCGTTCTGCACGCTGGTGCCAGTGGGGCCGCGGATGCGAATGGTGGGCGGCAGGCGAACTTTTCTGTTTGAGTTGACGAAGGATTGCGCCTGCTATCATGCAAGTTTTTGGTACTACGAAGGATTTGCGCCTAGCGATGAAATTGGTACTCGACAGTCCGTTGACGGCGAATTCCGTGGACAGACTGGAAGAGATCAGCACTGCGCTGCGAGAGTGGGATGTGATTCTGCTGCCAGAAGCGCTTCAGTGGGCAGGGCCAGAGCTGATGAAGAAGTCGAATCATATATGTCATGTGGCACTGCAGTTCGGAGCAAAGAAGGGAAAGAGGATCGCCGGGGCATGCGGCGCAACGTTCATGGTGTCCAACGAAATGATGAAATCCAAGGCTTTCCATGCGCAGTGCGCGCCGCCCGCGCAACTTGCAAGGGCGAGGTGCAGGGGTTAGGCTGTGCGCGAGAGCACGCGACGTCGCAATCTTCGCGACGCGCTTGCCGCCAGACAGACGGTGCGCTGACAATGTGTTTACTTACAACAAAAGTATGAGTGGGTTCAAGAAAGGTGGCGACACGGGCCGCAGATCTACTATCATTTTGGGAGGGGGCATCAACGGCCAATTGGGAATGCGCAGAGTTGACAGCAGGAGTCCGGCGGTGAGCAGGCGCAGCTCGGGCAAGCGCGCAGCGGCATTGGGGCCGGCGGCAATGGCGCTGCTTTCAGGGGGCTTTGTGTCCACGGCTTATTGTCGGTAGTCGCGACTTTCTTCGGTAGTGGGCCAACTTACTGCCGCGCGAGAGGTGGGGATATGGGGGCGAGCGGGATCGACCGCGTGGCGACGCCGACGGGCGCTTTGCCGCGCGCGCGGAAGCGCGCTGCGCTGAGTGGAGTGGGGGGGAACATGCAGGTCATCAGAGCGAGAGGACACAGAGGCCGCATCTCTGTGGGGGTGGATATTGGACTGGAACATCAGTGCCATTTCTCGAGCAAGGTCAGACGCCGGGGGGCAGGCGCAGAGGTGGACCGCAATATGCTGATGGAGCGCCCGGGGAAAGGGCGCTTGAGGGCGGAATTCTTGCGCGCGTTCGACCGCCTTCTGCGTGCCAGTTTGTCGCGGCAGCCAGGAGAAGCACTGGCGAGATAATTTCGGAGTGCGACCCGGGTAGATTCATCCGAGCTCCCAGGAGATGCATTAGCGAGGTCATCCCGGAGCGCGATCTAGGAGGTGCCCGCCGAGCCCCCGGGGGAAGAATTAGCGAGGTTATCTCGGGGCGCAATCGCTGGGGAGCGAACGGCGCAATACTAGTGGAGAGCTTCAGGAGCGACCCGCATCAGACCAGATGTGGAAGGAATGGGGCGGAGCAGGCAGACAAACCATGGAAGAATCCCCCCCCCGACCAAGAAGAAACAGGCGGCATTCACAACTGGCGGAAAGGTTGAAGTTAAGAGTGGGCATGGTAGAGTCAGACGTGCAAGAGAGAGAAGTGGAAATCAAGGAGGAGCTTGCGCAGATGCAAAATCTGCTACGCAGGCGCAGGACAGATGCGGGGCAGCACTGGCAGAAAAAATGGAGGGCATGCGAGAACAACAAATTCAGTGAGATGCGCAGGCTCAGGGTAGAATGCCAGATGAACCGGGGCGGGCCAAAGAAGAGTTATGCTTTCTCGGCGCGAACATGGTGGATCACAGAGGAATGGCCAACGGAATTGGGAAAGCGCCCCCGCGAAGGGGGGCCGGCAGCTGAGCCGGTGGACTTAGAAGAGCACGAGAAAGTGCGCGACGAGAGGATCGCGGATAATCTGCCGCCGCCAATGGGCATGTATCGTAGAACCCAAGTGGAGAGGGACAACAGAGACATGCTGTAGTTCTGCAGAAAAGCGGCAAAGATGAGGGTTTTCCGCCCATGGGGGTGCCAGTGGAACTTGCATGGGTGATTCTGGAACCCGCGGTCAACTTGGAGGGCTCCGAGCAGTTGGGCAAGAAGCGGGAGGTTCAGAAGATGCGAGCAGCGGAGAAGCGAGAGGACGAGGGGGACTTGGCCAAGTACAGCTCGCACAGCAAGTACAGGGTTGGCAGGTCGATTTCACAGAAAAAGGGTCGGGCCGCAGGGGGTGCGCAGGGCAGGGCAGATAGCGCTGATGGCGGAGAAGCGACGCGGGCGACCGGGGCAAAACAAAACGCACCACTTGGCGAGTTGCGAGAAGGCTGGGCTGGGATGGCCAGCGCTGGGGGTAGACGAGAGTGTGGGGTGCAGGAACAAGCTGGGGGGCATCCGCATTGAGTGTCGCTGATCTCAAACACGCCAATGCACTGGCGCAGATGTATTTCTTTCTCAGCAATGAATGGCAATCGGCGCAAGGGGATTGGAGGAAAAAGGGTTATGTGCGCATATTGCTCAATTGGGAATGGCGCTCCACAGTGGGATTCTTTACAGAGGCAAAACACCGAAGCACCCATGCTGGGCACCGGGGGGGGGGGGGGCTTCTTAACATATCCGAGGGGGAATGCGATGGGCTGCGTCGAAGCTGCGCAATGGAGAGCATGACCGGCAGGGGTGAGCGCCACTGTTAGCTACTACGACTGCGCCAATGCCTTCGCGAGCACGAAACGCAACCTCCTGCTGGCATCATTTTTCGCCGCAGCGAAAGTGGGGGACCTACCATTCGCTATCGAGGCGCTACGCTGCGCGTCGATGAGCATGGATTGCGCGGACTACTGGCTACGTGCAGTCATTGCGAGGGGTGTGCAGATGGGATTTACCTTGCGCCCGCAGCATTCTAATGATACTTCCATCCTATACGTGGGGCAGTGGCGCCAGGCGCAGAGGGAGTGGGGCGAGATGCAGACGGTGCTCGATACGTTGGCGTCAATGACCAGGAGCGCGATCTCTCGCCCAACGCGTTCATGAGCGACATCGTCCAGATCCACAGTGGTTTAGTCGGGGCCGCCCACCCTGGTGACTGGAGTTCGCGAGTGCATTTCGGAGCACCAGTCGGCACTTGGCGAAAACGAGGATAGCCCGGATCGTCCAGGAGCACAGCGCCAGTCGGCTTTTGGCGAACGCGATGATATCTCGGCTCGTCCAGGAATCCCAGTTGGGAGAGAATATGGACCGCTATACAAAGCGAGAAGGATAGCGGAGCATATAAACGCTACCGCGCAGCGCCTGGAGCGCGCGCTGGAGAGAGGGGGGTGGGGCTTGAACCCAGCCAAAACCGACCGCCTCGTACCCCTTCGGGGCCCAGGGCGAGACGTGGCCACTCGGCAGCTACAAATGGATAGGTAGCTCAAGGGCACGCTTATGAGAGAGATGAGGGTACTGGGGTCACACCTACCAGGAGACCAAGGCTACGAGGGAGATATCATGGTGAGGTCTGAGGCCATGCAGATAGCGCACAGACAACGTGGACGCTTCTGGTCTTCCGGTACCACCGACAAGATAGAAAGGATATGTTCCAGGCTTTCGTCTCAGGAGCAGGCCTAAGTGGAATGTCGGTTGACAGCTTGAGAGTGCATGGGAGTGCCGTGGGAATTCTATGGGGAGGAATGGCAGGGGGCAGGATGAGCTGGGCGCAAGAAGATGGCACGACCAGGTGCGGCGCCAACAAGGAGGCGTTCAGGAGATAGAGGATGCCGCGTTGCTCAACAGCGCTGGGGATCCGCAGGCTGCGATGGCACAGGCAATGGGCGAGACGTCCAGAGGACTATCACAATGCATTGGCAGCAGTTTTTGGTGCGTCGAAGTTGGGCCGCCTCGGCGAAGCCAGAAGATTGGACAATGGGAGAGTATGCGCAGCGTCTACACCCAGGTCAGAGAGCGGGTGGTTAGGGATTTCCAGGCACTGGCGGAGGTTAGCAAGGTCGTCGCAAGCTGGCGCCCGCGGAGGCAATCAGATATTTCAATGTTCCAGACGGGCGCGCGAGACTGGGAAGCCTGGGTAGGGGCGGGCCCGGGTATCCCACGCCGTGGCGGGCGAGCAAGGGATGCAAAGTTATCAGAAATTCCAGTGGGGGATGAGCGACCAGTATTTGTGTCGCCTGGGGGCCGGGGGCTGCGGGGCAGGTGCGCGGGGCGCAACTCACTGCGGCGGCGGCGCTGGCCGCGCGCAGAAGAGTGGTGCGCGACTGTCTTCCGCTGGTCCCCAGCTTGGCGATAACGAACCAATGCCAATGCCCATGGTGTTTTAGCTCTGTCGCGCCGAGAAGATCACGGCCGACAGTGTCATGGGGGCCGCGGAGAGGTGCGGGATGTGCTGCAAGAGCAGAAGCTGTTGGAATCACCCAGTCCAGGGGCCTCCTCCTCAAGTCTGCTCCCTCCGCGGCTTCCAGATTCAATCTTTGGGGGATTTTCAGATGCGCGTTCGCTGCCGCCATCCCGGTCCGCGCTGCGTGGAAGATGGCGATTGCACCGTGGAGACTGCCTCCGCCCCGAAGGGGGGCAGGCGCGGAGATGGAAGGAGAGACGAAGCGCCGCGGGGGCGGCGCCAGAAAATGCAAATACCAGTGGGCCACAGAAGGGGCCAGCGCCAAGGCGGCGGACAGCCCGCCAGCGGCTGCGGCCGCGGCGGCAGGGGGGGGGCGGCAAGGGCGGCGGGGGGGGGCGCGGGCCCCTTCGCCGGCAGCCATGCGCGGCGGAGGACAGCGAGGGGTCCGACTTCAGAGGACGCATCCACGGGTGAGGGAGATGAACCACGTGGCGTCGGACTTCTTCCTCATGCCAGTCAGCAATTGGGCGTGTCGGAAACCGTTGGCAGCGGGGCAAAACTACGGGAACCAGGTCAGGGAGAGGGGGAGGGGGCAAGGGGCGCATGCTGGGGCCGCTGGGCATCCACGCGGGGATGGCGCTGATGGAGGGCATCCAGGAGTTTGTGTCGGAATGGCAGGAAGCAGATCCAACGACGGTGGCGGCGTCGATAGATCGGACGATGGACACTCTGAACGATTTCTTGACGCTGGCGGACGACAGTACCGAGCGCGGCCAGGCCGTGGTCACAGAGACCATCAAGATGTGCAAGGTCAGCGAGAGCTACATGGTGCCCAACAGCAAGAACAGGAACCCGAACGAGGACGAGCAGCGGTCTGGGAGGGGGCGCCCAGGCACTATCCAGATTGGCTTCGACCGGCCCCCCGGCTTCAGGGGGGCTCCCGAATGACGCGAAAGAAGAAGCCGTGGCGAAGCTGGGCCAGTTCTCGGGCCGCAACCTGAGCATTGCAGTGGGGGTGCTGATCGTCTTCGTGAGAGGCGAGAAGTCCCTGTCGGCGGCGCCCAAGTCGGAGCTGGAGAGGATGGCGGAGGGGGAGCTGCCGCGTCGGCGCCGCTGAGTACGGAAGTGGTAGTTCTATTGGCGAAGTTATCTCGGAGTGCAAAGGCCCCGGGGCCGAGTGGCGGGCCGCGGCTGTCGCGGGCGAGCGCTCTCATTGCGCTTCCGACGGCGTCGCCGTCGATTGCTGAGAGAGCCGCCCTCGGGGGCCCCCCCCCAGGGCAGTTGGGCGTCGCAGGGGGGCCCAAAGGCGGACAGGCGAAGAGGAAGAGACGACTCTCAGATGAAGAAGGAATAGCGGGGTCAATCGGCATTGACGTTGAACGCCTCACTAAACTTAGACTTTTTGGCACAGATGGTAGGATGTGCGAAATGGCCCTAACGTTTCGAGCAGAACGGGGAGCGGAGTTGCAGAGAAACGCCCTGGGGCGGGGGCCTCCCTGGCAGCAGCCAGCCCACCCGTCCCTGTCAGTGACCGACATCATCGGTAATGGTGACGCGATGTCTATCTTCTTCCCTCTACTCCATTACAGCTGCGAAGAGATGGTGGGCGGGGTATTCTGCATGCAGCACGGAATGCGCACAATGTAGAGACGGGCCGCGGTCAGTTGGGGGAAATGGGGCCAGCGTGCAAGGTGCTGCGCGATAATCGGGGCAGGTGGGAAATTCACTTCGCATCCCAGCGATATTATTCGGTTCCCACAGCTGATCTGGCTCAGCGACGGCTCAGGTGTGCAGCGTTGCGCGCTAGCGGGGGTTCTCGGAGTGCGTGGCGCGGGGGCCCGCCCATGGCCTTCGCGGGCAGCGGCCAGCTATGGCCCTGCGGGCGTAGCTGCAAGGGTTCGGGTACCGCGAGATGATCGGGGGCCACGGGGCGCGCGCAAAACATGCGCCTGGTCATGAATGGGATCATGGGGGCAAATGCAGTCAATGGAAGAGGGCGTGCATCGACTGCGAGCTGGAGCTGAGGCAGGAGGAGTGGGGCGAATGGAGTGATGAAGAGAAGACGCTACATGGGGGAGAGTAGTATATTTCGATGGGGCAGGTCTGCCGAGAGCAGAAGAGGAAAGCAAACGGAGCCGCGTGGGCAGCCCAATCCTCGGGGCAGATCCAAGCGGCGAAAGCGCTCCTGGCGGACGAGAAAGGCCCGCATAAACAGTAAACAGCCTCGCAATGCAAGGGGCCCGTAGGAAGTAGGGAAGTCCAAAAAGATGGCGAAGGCATTGCTTGAGGGCATCGCGATTCATGGGCGCATACTTGCAGCCTTCAGGGATGCAGGGGAAAGCGTGACAGAGGCGTTGCGACGCGCCGAGGAATACCACATCCAACTCAGCACGTACTTGGCCATGGACATCAACGACGAACGCGCGCTGAAGGCTGCGAGAAAAGAGTTGGCGGGGAAAGAGAAGGAGTCCCGCGAGATGGGCGACCACGAGACGGCGAATAACACTGGGAAGCCCGCCAAGGTACCTGAAAGCGCTGGACTTCGCGGTCAAATCGAGCGACAGCACGCAGCTGTTCAACCCGTGCAGGAGGAGCGCAGCATGGGGCGCAGAGAAGGGCGGCGCCTGTTCGCGCGGACACGCCTTTCCGAACAAGCCGTGGTGTAAGAGGCCCCAGCCCCAACTCGACAGGGGGCCAGTGGCAGTTCTGGTGCAAGGTGGACTGGTTGCAGCTCGTGAAGGCGCATGCGAACCACCCAACAGACGGGCGAATCAAAGAGTGATTTGACACAGTGGAAGAGCGAGTTCGGCAGTGGCTGCGATGGGTGGCCCAGCGCCGGGTGCGAGTCGACGTTGACCCCGCTCATGTGGTGGAGCTCAGGGTGGGAGATGGGTGGGGGGCGTTCGTGGCGGAAAGGCCGCCGCAGCGAGACAATGCCATCGAGGAGTGCCATTGCAAGTCCTACGACGCCTCCCAGAAGATGGGCCCAGAGGAGCTTCTCGAGCTGACCCCCTATGGCCTTCCCGATGGCGCTCAAGGTCAAAGGTTGCGATCTCATCGCAAGGTATCCAGTGGGCTTGGGGGGGGGGGGTGGGGGGGGGCTGGGGGGGGGCCTCCGCAGTGCAGAGCTGGTGTGAGTTGGCGCTGAAGATATCGAGGAATGACGCAGATAACCTCTGCGAAGTCATGGGGGTCGCCTTCGAGGAGCTGAGTGATGAGGGGAAGTTCGACCCAGGGGGGCGAGCGAGCTCAGACAGCGACGGGGGCTACGAGACAGCGCGAAGACCTTGCCAGATGGTTCCGCGATCTTCGAGGAGAAGCTCGCCTGCCTCAAGCCGGAGGGGGCGACGGCGGCCAGCTTCTCCAGCGGCCGCCAGTGACAGAACCCGTTGGGGCCCACTGGCAAAGCCAAGAGATGCAGTCGCGAGTTTACCTCGGAGTGCTACTCTAGGCAAGCTGGACGGGCCCATCGTCAGAGCCAAGAGATGCATTGGCGGGGGTCATCTCGGAGTGCTACTCTAGGCAAACACAGTGCTCGCTCGCACTGACAACCTCATGGGACGTGATTTGTGAGTGCAAATTGGTGCAATGCCGCAGGGTGAGGAATGAGAAACAGTGATCGCCACGAAGGCCACCAGAGCGCATCCTCGAGGGCCCCGCCTCCAACATGCCGTGACTGCCAGCATGCTCTTCCCCGCGTGCATTTCGAGGGGGATTAGTGGGATGCTCCAACAGGGTATCAGGGTACAGATGCGATAGTGCATGGGGCAAGTATCGGCCAGTTCGATGCGGTAGAGAGGTGAGCCGAGCGAGAGAGGAAATACCATTATATAGTAGAACATGCAGGGTAATTCGGCCCCCAGCAAAAGTTCGGGAAGCACGGGCCTCCTGGTCCTTTCCACCTCTTGCTTTTGAGGTTTCGTGTCGTCGTCACGTCCCCTCTACCTTGGGGGCCCTGCTAAGCCCGTGCGTCCCCATCCCAAGGGCGCGCGAAGGGCCAGCAACTGCTCCCTCCGCGCTGACCCGCAGGGACTCGTAATCGTAAAGTAGCGAGTCTCTCCTACGGGGCCACGTCGGAGCTCACACTTCGGAGCTCCGGGGCATGCCCCCTGCCGGCCCTAGTGAGAAATCCGGGCCTTTGCACAAGCACATCGCAGGTGATTTTGCCAAACGCGCGCAACGCACCAGCGTAGGTGTGTTGACGTTGAAACCGTTTATGCGGATGTCCTTGTCCTCCTCCTCCGCGGCCTCCCCCACAGTCCAATTCCTCCTCATCCTTGTTCTCCTTGCCCCCCCAGGGAACCCTTTCACCCTCGTTTCTTCTTTCCACTCCTCCGGCTACGTCCAGCCGCGGCGAATAAAAGGGCCCCCGAAGTGCATTTTGGGCCTGTGTTAAGCCGTCGCGGGTGGACTTTAGGAAGTCTTGGAAGCCGCTTGGGCCGTTTTCGTGGTTTTTGGAAGATTTAGAGAAGAAGCGTCATGTAATGAAGAGCCCCACAGGTTCGACTATCCAGCCTAGCGAAAACCCGAACGCGCGCGAAACGCGCGCGATGGTTTAGTATATGTCTACATATGTATGTGTATACATGTATGTGTATGTGTGTGTGTGTATATATATATATACACATGCCTGTTTGTATATGCGCACATATGAATATAACACATTCTATGTGCTGTACCATGCTTTCTGTTAGTTTTCACTTCAGAGGCTTCTGTAGGAGGAGGGACGAGGATGAACACGAAAGCGGCGAGGACGAGGGGATCGGGGGGTGTTATGTGGTTTCCCGCAGGTCGTCGGCGACTCTCTGGAGTTATGGGCAGCGTTCCGGAGGGTTCCGCGTGTCGGGATGTCGAGGGCCCGCCCAGACCTCCAGGCGGCGGAAGGAGATCAGTACTGCCGTGCTCTTCGGGATAGCCGGCCGTCGAAGGGCCGTCCTCGGGCCTCCGGGAGGGCCCTTCATGGCCCGCGGCCCGCGGCGACGCAGCGCGTTCGGGGTCGGGCCAGGAGCGCTGCGCGCTGCGCGGCCCACATCGCAAAGGTGTCACGAGGCCGGAGGTATCCGGATGCAGCTGCAGGCCACCGCAGCCGCGCATCGCCCCGCCGCCTGCGGGGAGTACCGTGCTGGAGGAGATCGGGGCGCAACTCGCAGGGCCCATGCGGTCCGATCGGTCCGAATCGGTATCGCCTTCGGCCTGCTGGATGCCATTCGACCCCAATCTTCCGACGATTCTATCCGATGCGGCCCGATGCTCGCATGGCGTTGTTGTCCATCCCGGCGCAGCCGATCCGATCTGATCTCGATTCCATGCCGACGCATGTCGATTCGAAACGCGTTCCGATCCGATCTGATTTTCCGATTCGATATTGACTAATCATGCAATCGCGTCAGCGTGACGCGTGGACTGACATAGGGGGCGTTTGGGGACTGCTCCTCCTTCTCCTCCCTGCAATCCTGCCCCTCTTTGTCTCGGAGGCCGTGTCTGACCAACCTTGCGCTACACCTGGACCTACCGGGCCAGGACCCCGCCATCTTCCTCCCGACATCCACCACCAGCCTCTGGTTCGATCTAATGTCGTGTTCGGCCCTATGTGGGGGCGTCGAGCCATCAGGGCTTGGCCCAAGGTTTGGGCGGGTTTCAGCTCGGTGACGCCGAGAACGCGGTGGCGGCAAATGAACATCACGTGGCCAGCACGACTCATGCCATCCAGGCTGCGGGCTGGACCCCCGCAGGGCTGTGGGATGGGAGCCCTTCGCCTCCTGCTCATTCCTCGGATCCCTTTCCCCCCCCCCCCCCGCTCCCTTGGTGTTTCTCCTGCCCCTCCCTTGCGGAAGACTCGAGGTGGCACCACCCAGCCCTACTGGTACAGTGTGTGCGTCGCCCCCCAAAAGGAGCGACTCGCGAGCCGAGACGTCTGCTAGTGCAGGCTCCGTGGCGGGCGCTCTCCGTCCATACCGCTCGGGGAACGATATGCTGCACCATGCTTGTACTGTATGTTCGGTTCGAACGCGCGCCTCGAAGGAAGACGCATGTCTTTCTGCGTCCCATGGAGCTCCATGACCCAC